AAAACGCTACGAACTTATTCCCCAACCCAATATATTAGCAAAAAAGTAATATCGCCTACTCGAGGCTACCTAAGTGAACAAGTACTTCTGTCTGTTTACGATGAAATACGAGTTAACGCGTATTCGCGAATTGATTATTTGGTAACAAAATCGTACTTTGTATTATATTAACCATCCACTTTCCGTGCCAGAGGTAAAGAGCTGATCGTTTCCGAGTTGGAACGAGTGTCCGTTGCAGTTTGCAGTACCGATGCGTATTTGCTGTAAACGCTCTGGATGTAAAGATCGTGTTTCACCGGTGAAATTCTATGCCGGAGTACTTCGATTTTTTCCCATAGTTATGGCAACCAGTTCCTCGCGAAACGATCTTGCGAACCTAATGTTCATGCCGTTCGTTCCAAAATCTCTGCACGTTCGGCTAGCAACAGGTTAATACGTTTGCTGTCTCCGGGTAAGGGTTTACGATAAGTAGCCGGCCTTTTCGAGTATCAATTCTACGGAACGCTAACAGTCAGAAGTTCGCAAGTACGGTATCAACGTTCGCGAACAGGAATATAATGGAATGCATTTGGCAATGCTGCCAGTCGAATCGAAATTCGCAATTCCGATTTATCGTCGGCCGTTCGAAAAAAACAATCTCGAAGTCGCGAATTCGTTACAAGGAAAAAGTAATGTAGCTGACGGCGACAGATCGTTTAACGGAACTAACGGGCTTGCTGGATGCTGACTAAGCCACTCCGACATGCAAATCGATGCACGCCGCTTTTTCGTACGGACGGAACACCGATGATCGATCGAACTCTCGATGGGACCAACGTCTACCGTGAAGAATTTACTTGCCCGTTTATTGACCCATAAAAGTCCAAGATTTTGTCAGACACTTCCATGCGCTTATTATTGTCTATCAAAGAATCCGACAAATGTTCAGAATTAATAACTATTCAAGACTATTTCACTCGAAATCATTAAATATAAATCGTGAATAGAGGCGAACAAAATTTCCATGTAATAATTTGTATCAATTCAAAAGATATGTTGTATGCAAACATATGTTTGATTATTTAAATATTGAAATATCCATTCAGCTTGTTTCATACTTTGAATGCAGCATTTATAATTTCTGCCCATTCAGTTTTCTCATAATTGCATAAAACCGGCAGTCTACTAATAACTCTTGCAATTTTATTGCTTCAACATTGTTTTTATTTAATTATTCATAGAGCGTTTAATACTAAAATACGAAAGTTGTTCGATACCCGGGAATTGTTTGGTTCGAACAAAATCGTTTGTCGCTCGATGCCCTGAGCACAAAGCTTTCAGCAGTAACGCGTATGTATATGTATGTGTAAAGCGTATCGTGGGTTTGAACTCCGGTCCTGCCGACGTCGACGTAGCGTTGCGAACGTTGTTTAAATACACAACTTCTCTTCTAAATGTTTGCAATTTGAAGAGGGGAGGGACGCGCGGAGGCCGGCGAGCGCGTAAATCCAGCTTTTCTGTGCGCTTGCATCTACGAAGTCGATTCCGGATCGAAAGTTCGTCGACTGCGGTGAACCGCCACGTGTATCGCCGCCGTGCGGTTAGCGTTTTGCTAGTTAATAAGTTATAAACCAAGTTTCTTGATGAAAACTATAATGCTTCGCGCTAGATCGAGCTGTGTTGAAATATCTTCGGGTCTTATCATGTTACAGGGGGAGGGGAATGGGGAATCTGTATTAGCAATTCTCTGCGAAGTAAGAAATTGATAACTATATCGTTCATAGATCAAGTGAAAAGTGTTCGTATAGTTGGAACCCTGGCAATCTTGTCTTTCATCAAAGAAATAAGTACTTTAACATGTTTCTAACAGATACTACAATTTTTAATTATTCATCATTTGATGTATTAATAGGAATATCAAAACCTTCTATTGTAATAATTATAGTTTTACGAAAATTATATATAATCTGATTGGTCAAAAAATGAAACTGCTTCTAGTCTGTATAGCCATATATTAATAGGAATATTAATTTAACCCCTTGACATACAATGACGAGTTTGACTCGTCATTTATTCCATTTAATTTGTATGTAAAGTTCTATTTAATTTGTATGTCAAGGGGTTATATATTAATAGGAATATCAAAATATTCTATTGTAAAAATGAAAGTTTGAAACACATTTGATCAAAACGTATAAGTGCTTGTGGTCTGAACTTAATGTCAAGAACTTACAAAGATCCACGGCGCTGGTCGTGTCGGCCAGAGCCAGAAGAAGGACGAGGAGGTGGACGGCAGGTATCGCCCTCCCGGCGAAGAAACCGAAGCTTTTCACCATAGCTCCCGTTTCGCGCGAGGGCTTCACCCTCGCCCTTTTCTCACCGTGACTCCGCCCGTGCCATTTCTGCCTCGTCAATCTGAAACAAAAAACAGCGCCACCGTTACGAGACGATAACGATATACACACTACATGTTATGAGGGATCTCGAATGCTGTTCTCCGCTCGTTTCGATCGACAGCTTCCGTCGAGTTCTTCCGTAGGGAAGTACCATGACTTCGTTAGGGTGGTGCTCGAGAGGAGATGACAACGAGGAGGGGTCGAGTGTCCCTTCCTCGATCACCGATTTTATCTCGTGTACGTAGCTATTCTCTTTAAAGTTTTTGTCTCCTGCCAATAAACTTGTTGACTTTTTTCAACCCCGAATCAATTTTGATTTAATATAATTTACAGTATGAAAATATTAACTGTTGATTTGAAAGGAATAAATTATGAAACTCTGTGATATTAAATTAAAGGGAACGACAGTTTAATGTTTAGAGAAAATTATTTCAGTTAATTTTAATAAAAGATTGAAGAAAAATAAAGTTGAAATCCGTATCTCATTTCATCTGGCGTTATCTTTGCCTTAATTCGACCTGCCTTGAAAATGAAGAAACCCAGATGGGCTTCATAAATTCTTTGAAATAATTCGCGTTGAAGGTTGAATGTAATCGGTACAGTTTTTGATATTTCAACGGTACAGCGCTCCCGCCGCTCGTACATTTCTATCAAATATTTAAAGACAGACAGGTCGCGTTTGTTGTCGATAAATCAGAGATGCGAAGGGAGCAAAATGAAAGAAAAGGGAATCGAAAAATAACACGTTTCAGAAAGTGCCCGAAGGACTCCCGGCGGCCGCTTTATCGACGTCAGCCGATCCATTTTTACTCCGTCCGACAGGATGCCATTAAAGCGATACAGAATATAGACGTATATCTTTCTAATTACCCTGTACGCGAATCTCTAATAAATCGTTGCACGCACCGCGCATAAATAAGCGACGCTATTCAAATGCATTGGGTGTCCCGAAATTAGAGTCCCGTGAAACATTCAGTATAGGAAGTACACACTAAATTTCATGGCGAATTAAATCAAGTATACTACTAAAAAAAATTATGCCATGACGAAATTCGTGTCGAAAATTTACCAAGTTTGGAAGATGATTACACACTAACAAATTATCTTACGACGATGACTTCTTTTAAATTAACAGTCAATTCCAAAAATATGGTGGATGACTATATACAATTAAAAAAATCATGAAAAATGAAAAGAAAAACTGAGTCTCTACGATTTCTCCTCTTGATGTTACAACGGTTTAAAGTGACCCTTCTATATTAAGAGAAACCTGAAAAATTCAATAATAATAAAAGCATGCATTGTCCATGCAGCTTTGTGTACAGTTTATTGTATCTACACCAAAATAAATTGCCCATTCTCGTGTTGCTCGCTATTAAATAACGACGCATCCCGAGACGCGGTGTATACAAGCGTCAGGTGCCGTGGGAAAGCGAGAGCTCGAATAATTAATTCACGACCGCGGGCCACGCCATGAGAAACGGGTATAGATTTATTGGTCCGACGATGCGATGCGACCGCGACGTTGTTCGCGGGTTCAAAGACGGGGAGAAAGCCTCTCTGATGTACGAACGACGTGGCTCGTAAGAAAGGTGCGATTCCCGTCTGGACTTTGATGGAGCACGCCGCGGTAATTGCGCCGGAAGTGAATAAGTAATGGCGAACGGTAGCAAGAAGTCGCTCGGTCGTAGGCCTCGCGTGCTCCTATTAAACATACATGCGGCAACTTATGGTCGGCGCGGCGGCGCAGAGGAAAATCCACGGTTTAGTTCGGTGCGTGTATGTGTCTACGTCCCGTATACTTTGTGCTACCTTAATACGTTCTGAACCGACGTTTACCCGTGCCCTCGGTCCCTCCGATCCCGCGCGGCCCCCTTGGAAAATTCTTTCGTCTCGGGACTTGTTACCAGCCTCACAAGTACGAGCCTCGATTGCTGATCAAACAGTGTTTCGACCGCCTACTATTACGTCCGTTGCAGCCTGGATGAACTTTCTCCACGAGCTTCGAGACCTCATCCAATGAAACGATGAAATTCGTTTCGACTTCACGAGTAGCAGGCGGTCAAAGGAAACCGAGGAAGCAGCCGCCGCCGCCGCCGCCGCCGCCGCCGCCGCCGCCGCCGCCGCCGCCGCCGCCGCCGCCGCCGCCGCCGCCGCCGCCGCCGCCGCCGCCGCCGCCGCCGCCGCCGCTGCTTGATCGTCGGATGCCAGCAGGCTAGGTTCGTCCTCTTCCTCCCTGAATTCGAGGCTATGCAAATTTTTCTATTCATCGTTCACGCTCGGCGACGAGGAGCAGAAAAAAGAGGAGAGGGCCCTTTATCTCGTCCTCTGGCTTAGCCTGGAAACATTCCAATCAATTTCCCGTCGCTTTCCCTGTCCGGCCGATAACGAAATTATTCATCGATTGTTTTCTTTTCATCTCGCCGTCTACGGGGCGCACACGAACGGATTATCGTTGCTCGCGAGCTGGCAGGTGTCGCGCACCCTTGTCTTCCTCGTGTACACTTACCAGGGACCTCGTATAAACCGGCGGGCTTTCGCAATTATTATTCCATCGACGCGAAGGTGGTCCACTTTACGATCGGTATCGATGTACACACGCACACGTACAAGCTCCTACCTGCTGTTTATGTGTTTATCGCCCATATGCGTTCCGGAGTAACGGCGGTCGCGGGGGCGTCACGAAGGAACGAACGTAAGAGCCCCTGTTAAGCCGCAGTGTAAGCCGCGAAGGCTCCCCGTGATATCCTAGTTCGACGTCGAATCTCTTCGTTTGCATAGCAATGAGTTTATGCAGATTAATACACGCGGAACGTCTACGCGTACAAGGTCCCGCGGGATGTAAACCACCGGCACCTACATGGATTCGCGAGGCCGTGCATGCATATTTTATTGGCGCCGCGCCTAAGGATTCCGGATCGAGTATAAACCCCGCAGTCTACAACCCCGCGATTTGTCTCCCTGTCCTCCCTATTAGTTATAATCCGCGGCACGAGGACTTTATCAAACAATGGACGTGGCTGGCCTGCTTGTTCCACGGATCTGATTTAAGCCCTCGGCCTACGAGCTGCTTAGTAAATGATAGAAGCCCGATAAACATGGCTACATCGATTCTGTACTTCTCTCTTTTACTCGCTCCGTCGCTTCTGACCTAACGTGGGCTACAGATTTATAGAACTGTTGTATTCCCTTTTATTTTGAATTTACGACCGTTTCTGACTGATTTCATGCTGGCTGATGCTTCAGCTCTTTCAGCATTGAAATCGGGCAAGATGGGGCTAGATGGACGAGTGGGTTAAGACGGGCTAGCATTGTTTCGCAGAAACTCTAAGTACATATAAGCAGAATATGAGGTAGATTTCCCAGTTTCTATTCACTGCCGTATTTTTCTATAATCTGAATATTATAAACGTATAAAATAAATAAAACAGAGAGTGTTTTTATTACTTGACTATGTCATGATACGCTGATAATAAGAATATTAATAAATATTGTGTGAAAAGTCTGTTCCACTTCTTTCTATGTTTTTTGTGAGGTGTCTTCCCCACCTTCCCCTATTTTTCTTTGAATAACATTTTATACGATCTGAATAGAAATTCCTTTTTTCGTCATTTCTTGGCCCTTTTTATTGCAGCATTAAATTGGGAAGTAGAGTTGCAAATTTTGGTCGATGAAAATTTCCCCGGGCAACAGACGAACAATTAGGCAATTAGTACCCGGCAGAGGTAGAACCAATTGGGGTGGTTATTGTAATCAAGCCCTCGCACAGTTCGGTTTATGTTTGTCCCCATGCTAACTTTGTATCGTGAGAATTGTATGCGCTCCCGTTTACATCTCGGCTAAACACTCTAATTGTAAGTACCACTATTTGCAAGCACCCTTTCAAACTAAACATCGTAAAGCTCTATCGTATCAAAATTCAATCCCATTTATCCTCATACAAAAATCATTTCTTCATTACTGTGGAAAATACGGAAAGATTTAAATACGTCCTTCATTTGCACTAATAGCAAAAAATAATTTTTATGCAAATGATATTAAAACATGAACGCGTTGCACAAATTATTTTCTGGGTTTTGAACATCACCGATTTAATTATTAGCGATTAACTTTCAGACTTTGATTAGTCTGAGACTATGCGAGGGGGCAGTGAGTTCGATTTATTATTCGCATAGCATAAAAAATATTTTGCCTATCATCAGAAATGAAAGAGGTGTCTACGTTCAGATGGATTCTATATGTATAAAGATTTTGTAGAAATAACCATTAATGATTTGTTTCATTAAGTGTGCATAATCACTTTACGGATCGTCTATTGTCTGCAATTAAACGCGGGCGGGGGTGGTTTTGCAGGGTGGCGTTGGCCCGGTAAAACGTAATCGATGCCGCGATAACATCGCGGACCGATTTCAACGGCAAAAAGACCGGGGCAAAAGCAGTCGTTACCGGCGTGGATCATCGGGTTGATCTTAATTACGTATCGAGAAAAAAGCTCGATACAGACCGAATCGACGCGAAAAAAGAGCGATTGGTAAACCCGTCGATTCGAAAGAGAAAAAGGGGGAAATAAAAGGTGTCCGTCGGAGCGGCCGGTGGAAAAGCGATGCTTATCCGGCTCGGGAAATATGCGTTACGCGGCGAGCAGCCAGAAATACGAGCAGCGAGGGTCGTCCGAGCGAGCGTTAATGTCAGTTAATTATCTGTAAAACGCCCGGGGCTGGAGGCTCGTTCCCGAACTCGCGCGGCGCTTGTAACGCGTAGGCGCGGCCCGAATGTTTTCTGGAATCAGGAGGAACCCAGAGTTCTCCGTTGTCGATTTCAGTTCTGAAAAAATGCGCCTCGTTTACGGCTAGCAACCAGATCGACTCTTCAGATAAACAAGTTTTAATTGCGCAGTGGTTTCCAAACATCCCAGGCTTCCTATTACATTTTACGAGAAGGAATATTTTAAATATCTTTGACCCCTATTCCTTTTTCGTCTTAAGGGGCTAGGGTAATCACGTGACTTTTCTAACACGC